GACCCTGCCCATGAGAGCTTAAAATCTAAAAAGGGAGGGGCAAGTGATACATGAGGAGGTAGCTGTGTGGTGATGCATTGTTTGAGAAAGTGATAGTTCAGTGGTTAGTTTGAGGCTGAAGAGATGTGTCTTTTTGGATTACCAAGGCAGTCAGAGTAGGAGATAGATGGACAGGTTGGGGTAATGGGTTTAAGAGGATGGGAGAGACTCTAGAGAAGTCCTGGAGGCGAGCACAGGAGGAGTTGAAGAGGGAGCTAGAGAGCAGAAGGTCTTTGGAAGAGCGGAGGGGACGGTTAGGGTGATACTTTGAGAAAAGTTTTTAATATATAGCGGGGGGCAGAGTTGTGGATGGCTTTGTAAGTGGTTGTTAATATTTTACATTTTATCCTTTGGGCGACTGGAAGCCAGTGGAGAGATTGGCAGAGGGGGGTTGCAGACACTGGGAGGTTGGTTAGGTGGATGAGTCTAGCAGCAGTATTCATGATAGACTGAAGGTGAGATAGCCTAAGTAGAGTTGCAATAGTCAAGACGAGAGATAACAACTGAGTGGATGAGTAACTTTGTGGTTTCATTGGTGAGGAAGGGGGCGTATTTTAGAGATGTTACAAAGGTGAAGTTGGCAGGATTTGGATAGTGATTGGATGTGGGGCAGAAAGGTGAAGTTCGAGTCAAGGATGACACCTAGCAGCGTGGCATGGGAGGAGGGATGGATAGTTGTGTTATCAAACTCAATGGAAAAGTTGGGGGAAGGTGCACAAGCGGGAGGAAATATGAGCTCAGTTTTTGAAAGATTGAGTTTTAAGAAGTGTTGTGACATCCAGACTGATATGTCAGTTAATAAATTAGTGATACGCAAGGACACTGAAGGGGTGAGTCGTGGAGTGCAAAGATACATTTGAGTGTCATCGGCATAGAGATGGTATTGGAAGCCATGTGAGGTTTAGATAGAGAAGAGAAGGGTTCCAAGGATAGAGCCTTGGGGGGACCCCTACAGAAAGAGGAAGAGGAGCGGAGGAGTTAGGTTTGTAGGTGACACTAAGGGGTTGATTTACTAACCTTATAAACACACCACGAATGTGTATACACCTCTGCAGTGTGTTCCCTCCCAGCATGATCTTTGGGTGGAATCTAAACACCTTTGTAATGTGTACACACCCAGCAGGTGTGTTGTGCAAAGCCCTGAAGGAATTCCAAGGTGATGTTGGGTAAATTAGCTCTATGTTGTGTTGCTTGCGTTGATGAATGCAAGGAATGTAAATGCATGAGCTAACCATTTTTGTCTAAACTGTGAAGCAGCATTATATATGCATCATGTGCATGATTTTTCCATATATGGCATTAGTGGAAATATGCTTTTAGAGACTTTTTGGTTGATAAATACGTTTTGCTGTGTGAAAATCACACACACCTGGTGTGTGTGTGTGTTTAGGTTAGTAAATCACCCCCTAAGTGTCACTAAGGAGCGCTTAGATAGATAGGAGGAGAACCATGAGAGAGCAGTCTTGTAGGCCAAGCGAGTGGAGTTTTTTTAGGAATAGTGGGTGGGCAACTGTGTCAAAAGCAGAAGAAAGGTCTAATAGCAAAAGTAAGGAGTAGTGGCCATTGTTTTTAGAAGTTAGTAAGTCGTAAGTAAGTTTTAGGAGGGTGATTTCAGTGGAGTGTTGGGGGCAAAAGCCGGACTGTAAGGGGTCGAGGAGGTTGTTATCAGTGAGGTTGTACATAAGCCCTTCTAGGAGTTTGGAGGTGAATGGGAGTAAGGAGATTGATCTGAGATTGTTACGTTTGGTGGGGTCCAGTGAGGGTTTTTTGGGTAATGGGGTGACGAGGGCATGTTTTAGAGAGGAGGGAAAGATGCCAGTAGAGAGCGAAAGAAAATGTGAGTAAAGGAGTGTAGGATAGAGTAAGATGGTGGCCGGAGTTGTGGTGAGGGAATAGGGTCCAGGAGGCAAGTGGTGAGGCAAGTAATGTGCATGCATTAGTACAACAGATAATCTGAAATGGCCCTTACTAATTGTAGTAATAATAATACAAATAATTTATTATTATTTATATAAACTTTTATAATATCCTTAATTATTATTTTATATACAATGTTACTGATAGGAATAGAGACCCAACGGTGCAGCAAGGTAGAGTGCGGAGCTCACATCGCTGGAGGAGAGCAAACTAGAAGGTAAGTCTACCATAATGTGCAAGCATGCTGTGCATAAGTACAGATTATATCAACTGCTCTGGGGACACACTGTGGAAATGGCAAGATTAACAGTGTGTGAAGCTGGAAATCCAGACATATGGCACTGTCAAAGAGAAGCTCTACATCAATACCTGGAATGAAGATGTCAGGTAAATTAAAGAGCAGAGAGGTTTATCTTATAGTAACTGTCTTTCAATGACAAGTGTACTTTCATATACTCACCTACTTCTGCCACTATGGTGTCATTAAAGCGCCCATGAATACGTGGATATGGGACTATAGATTTCTCTGTAGGTAATTAAAATAGAATAGTTTCAAAGTGAATGTAAAGCAAATATATACATACAGGTGTAGACAGCTTTTTACTAAATCACAGTTAATGCAAATTAGCAAACATTTTAACATATCCATGCATTGTTTTGGTAAAAAAAAAAAGAAAAAATCCTTGCATATCATATGTTTAGCACAAGAAATACATGTCCAGGACAAATTTAAGGTGTCTGAGACATTTTTCACTTCAAAGTTTTTTTACCAGTGGTTTCTTTATCATGACTCACATAAAACATAAATATTACATATTTAAAACATGCATTATTTTATCAAGATTAGAAGATTTGACCAGAATATCTGCCTTTAACTTCTGTCCAAGTTAAAATCAAGCCACAGCCTCATTGGTCAGTAGAAGCTCTTGCTATTGTCATTTGAAAGACAAGGGTCAAAATTTTGCACCAGAAGTAGGTGAAGCTTAATCCTTACATGAAGAGAAGTCAATACCCTATATATAGTCGAGGCTTAGGATCAAGGAGACTCCGCCTCGGGTTATAAAGACCAATTTGATGACCAACACAAATATGTGTAGGCACTACAATGTACCTGCTCTTCAGCAGTGTTATCTTTCTAGGCCCATCATCAGAGGAAAGTCGAGACATTGCTGAGCTCTCCTTCTGAAAATACTATTGGTCTGGTTGTCATGCTGACCATCTTGCTTCAACCCTTTCAATCACTAATCCAAAACAAACATACAGATAAAGACTTCTGACTTTTCGCTGATTTTTTAAATCTTAATTTAGGCTGGCATGGGCAAGTGAAAGAGGTCTACTGCCATGTACAATAAACATAAAAGGTGCAATGATTTTGGATTTTGTTGTGTTGTTCTATTATGCAAATAGGGAACCATTCCTTCCACTGACCACTGACATCATTCCGACCGCTGACACCAGGGCATTTATAGTAATGACTGATGGAGAGGCAATTATTACTCCCACTGACCACTGACCTAGTATTTTTTAATTCTAATGAACACCAACGTAGGGTCATTTTTTACTCACACTGATGCAGGGGCATTTATTATGCACAACGATGCTGAGGCATGTTTTATTCCCACTGACCAGTGGATCTGAGGTATTTGTTATGCACACTGACCTAAGCTTCCTGCAGATTCAGCTGGTCCCCTGAGCACTAGCCTGATATCCTGTTTCAGGGTGGCTCTTTCCCCTTGCAGGGTCCTATGGAGCTACACCTGTGTGTGCTAGTAAGCTATGTGTGTCTCCACAAACACACAGACACTTTAAGACAATCCACTCCCATGCTCCCAACTTCCCCCTCCTCCTTAATCCCTTCTCTAAGCTAGTAGATGGATTGCTGCTGGAGGCTGCTCAGTCTCTTGTGATCTTGCACTGGACAGGAAGTTCAGGGAAGCTTATCTGAGAGACTTGGAGCCAGCTCTTTGGAACCATGATAACTGTGTTTGGGTAAAAAGTTTGAAGAAATACTTTGCTGTGCAATGTATATAAGTTTGATCTGGATTCATGATTTCAAAAAAAAGTTTAAGAGTTTATTATTACTTTAAATTCAGAATATTCCAGTTTGACATCAACAGTACTGCCACTGCTAACCTCAGTTTTTCAACAACAGTTAGAAAATGAACATTTAGAGGGTTATTCACAAAGCTGCCAAAGGATCAACCCGTAGCTTCGGCTGATCCTTCGGCCAGCTTCGGTTACGGGAGCCCTTCGGTTCAGTAGACTTTATCCCGTACAGCTCCCGAAGGAATATGCTTCGGCTCAACTGAGCCGAGGTGAAAGCCAAAGCGGGCCGGCCACGGCTGGCTCCGGCCACTTGCAATGACAGATCAGCATCCCCTGGTTACTGGGTAACCAGGGGACGCTGATCTGTCATTACGATGAGGACTCTGCGAGCCGGCTCTTTCGCTCCCTCAGCCTCAGATGTCGGCTCCATCTTGACAGCAGCAGCAGCACCTCTCCACTTCCTCCAGCTCCTCAGCTCTGCTGTGTGGCTGCCTGTGAGTGTGGGCTCCTGACGATGAGAGCTCAGCAGAGCCGGCTTTAATATTACCGCCGGCTCCGCCAAGCTCTCATTGTAATGAAAGCTGGTCCTGCCAATAGAAAACAGTTGGGCGGAGCTAGCTGTTTTCTAATTTTTTTTCAACTTTTTTAACTGGTTTTCTATTCTACTCGGTACCACGGAGGTACCGAGCAGAATAGCCGAGCCGAATACGCTTCGGCAGCTTTGTGAATAACCCTCTTAGTTTCCATAGGCAAAATCTTTATTTTTTCTTTATACTAGTGTTTGAAAATAAGCAGTACAATTAAAAACAGGGTCAGCTCTAAAAAGAAAGATATTATTGACTTTGCCAATGTTTAAGCAGTGATTTTATTAATCTATCCACAATGAGCATGCTAAAAAAGAGAGGATTGTGCAGAATTCAGAGAAAGAGGGACTGTCCCTATTAGCTATAAAGCTGAGAGATGATAACTTGTATTATAATACACAGAAAAATATATACCTGACACTCTAACCGGTATATTCCGGGTAGCATTGTACGGCTTTCCATTATACATATATGTAAAACTGCAGGTGTAGGTTCCAGAATCTGATTTGCTGATATCACTGATATAAAGCATAGTGTCATGCTGTCCTTGAAGAAGTTTACACTCCTATGTTAAAAAAACATAAACCAGTGTATTGTTAACATGCACACATGAAATACTGTGAAGCTTTGTAGGGCTTCACAATAAGGGTTTGTCCACACCAGCAGCTATGCTCAACCACAGTGTCCAGACAGTGCTCATGCACTTGATTGAGCTGCATCCCACTGTTTTTCTTTTGTTGTTGTTGTTGTGAGTGACATTTCATTAAATTCTTTGGGCTTTGAATGCCACACTTTTTTTAAGTGCACATCACCATAACGTGGTGGTGTGAACTGCGCCCACCCATGACAAGGCAAATTGCCTTGTCTTGCATTCGGACTATGCTTTAAAAAACGTCCAGCACAGCCCGAACGCATATGGTGTGAATGGGCCCGAAAACATACAATAAGTGTGGTATTATAGTGCACTGTAATTTGTCATTAACCTGATATTGTGGAAGTTTACCTGTTTGCATTGCAGGGAGGTATTCCTGAACACACAGAAGGCTGAATGCTACTTCTGTAGGCTCATGTACAGAAACTCTGAACTATCAACGTGTTAGGACATGTTTTACTTACCAACTAAGCTAAGTAAAAATTAGCTTTGTCAAGTGAACATTCTATACTTTAGTTCAAAAAGTAAAAAAAAAGTTAAATAAACCATTAAAAATACATTTTAATTTTTTTTAAAAACTGAATTTTTTGATAAGGGCAACGTTGCTGTTTTTTTTTTTGCTTTATACTATTGTTTGAAAATAATGTGGTAATTTACAGTGTGGGGATCATTCTTACTAAGGCAAACATATGTAGATTCTTGGAATGTAGTATTATACGAACAGACCGCACTATCCAGAGAATTCCAATACTTCAGACTTTATTGAAATTCACAGCAAATCCAGTATAACAGTGAATAAAAGTGTATACAGCACCAAATGCCAGCACTGCACACCCCCAACCAACTACAAGCAACAGGTGTACTTTTATTCACTTTTATACTGGATTTGCTGTGAATTTCAATCAAGTCTGAAGTATTGGAATTCTCTGGATAGTGCGGTCTGTTCGTATACTACTACATTCCAAGGTGGAGACGCACCTATTGGACCAGCACCTGGGGAGTACTGATGGTGGCTAAGGAATTGGAGCTGTGAGATTTCCTTTGGCTCTACATATGTACATCCTTCTTACTAAAGCAGTGCATTCTAAATATTCTAAAAACGTTATAGTTTATTCATATATTTATATGGTTTCCTATATCCAATGTCAAGCAGAGGTAATCATGGGCAGAATAATGTAGTTTCAAAAGAGAGATAGCTAGGAGCTATGATATATGATGTATCATTGTTGCTGTCATTGAATGCTCAGTAAGTTAGATTAAGCATATGGCATGATGTCAGTGGTGTATTCTGGTTTGGGTCTGCCCTAGGCAAGGCAAAACTGGGGCGCCCCCCTCCCCCACTAAATTTACCCCACCCCTTCCTGTTTAATACTTTTTGCGTAACCTGCCAGCCGCTGGATAAAGTGCACATGCTGTATCCAGCTTTTGACATGTTCCGCTATTAGCGTAGCAGGAAAGCTGTGGTCTCAGGGCGGCGGTGCAGGATCTGTTGTGGGCTCTGCAGGGTCTCAGGGGGGCTTTGCAGGATTTGTGGTGAGCTCTGCGAGGTCTATGGTGGGCAGAGCACACAAAAGATCCTGCACAGCCCCCCTGAGGCCCTGCAGTCTGCAGGATCTTAGGGGGGCTGTGCAGGATCTTTTGTGTGCTCTGCCCACCATAGACCTCGCAGAGCTCACCACAAATCCTGCAAAGCCCCCCTGAGACCCGGCAAAGCCCCCAACAGATCCTCCAGAGACTCCCTGAGACCCTGCAGTCTGCCGGATCTCAGGGAGGCTGTGCAGGATCTGTGGTGGGCTTTGCAGAGCCCCCTACGGATCCTGTAAAGCCCCCCACAGATTCTGCAAAGCCCACCAAAAGGTATTGCACAGCCCACCTTCGACTCTTTGGTGGGCTGTGCAGAACCTATGCTGGGCCCTGCCAGCACAGTCATCCTCCTACCTAGCACGGTAAACCCAGCCCGAGCCTCGGCGACGCCTCCCGCCTCCTCCATCGCGGTCTCTGCTCTTGCCTCCTCCGTTGCAGTCTTCAGCCCCGCCTCTTCCATCTCCGCCCCATCTCCCCTGTCTCTGCCCCCTGCTGCTCCGTCTCCTCAGTCTTCACCCTGCCTCTTACATCTCCGCCCCATCTCCTCTATCTCCAACCCCTGCCTCCTGCCACTCCGTTCCCCGTCTTCCCCGCCCGCCGCTTCCTCCCCAATAACATTAGGCAGCCAGGCTGCCGGTTTCTGTGCAGCCCGGCTGCCTAAATGTTTTGGGGGGCTGCATTTTTGCCACCCCCCTGGAATCTGCTGCCCGAGGCAAACGCCTTGTTTGTCTCACGGCAGGTACGCCCCTGCCTGACGTATAATAAAAAAAATAGTAAAAAAAGATGTGACAAAGCTGATCTGTATCTAAAAATAATGCACTGGCTTCTTTGTAATAGTATTTCTGTTTTGTATTTGCTATGGTACCTCTATATATTTCAGTTGGTCTTCTAATTTTTTTATTCTTTTTACCTTGTACCATGACATTTCAGTAATGTTGTCATAAAAATTAGCCGGGCATTTTATGAAATTCTTTGTCAACCTTAGCTCTTTCATCCTTGGCTTTCCAGGACAAGATTCTTGTATGGATTCATAGACATTCAAGCTTATATTGGTGTTTTCTTCTCTAAAATACACAAAAAATCAGGGTTAGTAATAGGGGTGCACCGATACCATATTTTCCAGACCAAGTACGAGTCCCGATACTTTTCCTCAAGTACTCGGCAATACCAATTACCAATACCTTTTTTTGTGTCATGTGACAGTGCTTTTAGGACAGTGGTAGAGTGCCAGGTCACAGCTGCAACCGCTGTGACTGTGGTAGTTCTGCCACTGACTCCAAGCTGCAGAGGGACTTCAAATCTCAGCAATGCATTATATAGCAATGCAGAATAAAACAATCATCTACAAAGGACAATAAATCCCAGCAATACATTATACAGCAATGCAGAATATCATCAGCTGTAGAGGACTACAAATCTCTGCAATATGTTATATAGCAATGCAGAATGGCACCAGTTTTAGAGGACTAAAATACATAATACATCAATGCAGTACAATGCAATGCAATTATACAGGACAGCAATGCATAATACATCAATGCAGAATATCATCAGCTGTAGAGGACTAAAAAAATTGCATTGTACTGCATTGATGTATTATGTATTATAGTCCTCTATAACCGGTGCCATTCTGCATTGCTATATAACGTATTGCTGAGATTTGTAGTCCTCTACAGCTGATGATATTCTGCATTGCTGTTTAATGTATTGCTGGGATTTATAGTCCTCTACAGCTGGTGCCATTCTGCACTGCTGTGTAATGTATTGCTGAGAATTGCTGATTTTTTTTAGTAAAAATCTCAGAAATTCTCAGCAATACATTACACAGCAGTGCAGAATGGCACCGGCTGTAGAGGACTCCAAATCCCAGCAAAACATTATACAGCAATGCAAAATAATTCCATCAGCTATAGTGGGCTACAAATCTGAAGTTGATGACATTGTATTGTTCAGTGAAAACCTTGCTACTCAGAATACCTGATATTATAATAAACTTCCCCACTAGTGGATCTTAACCCTTTACCAGCTGCCCACACTTGTGTGAATAACACATAATTGACTGTACGTGTAACAAACAAAATATGGTGCTAAATGCTGTGGTTTTAAACAAACAGTATTATTGTGCACAAACATGTGAGTCTGGTGCCAAACTTTATTTAAACCATAATCTCTCCACACTTCCAACTTGCAGATGCATACAACGTGATTTTACTTAAGTGAACGTCTTCTTTAACGACAAACTCCACTGTGTTAACACCAGTGCATGACACCTTCACATGGAGAATTGCTTACTTTTGCTCCTGGACCACATCTAACATATATTAGTATGGTTTCTTTTGATTTCATCCCAATGTTATCTTTGCCCACCCATACTACCGTGTTTCCCCGAAAATAAGACACTGTCTTATATTCTTTTTCCCCGAAAAAAACACATTAGGTCTTATTTTGGGGGATGTCTTATTTTTTTTCCCCATTGAGCATCCCCTCCACATACTTTTTTGCTACCATAATTTAAATAATAGAGATAAAATATGCTGTGGAGGCTGAGGCACACAGGTGTCACACAGAGCAGAGATATGTAATGTACTGTACAGAAGAAGATGGAGAAGGGGAGTGAAAAAATACTGTCACACAGTGTCACAGTACCTGAAGGCTGCAGCTGTCCTCTAGCTCATCTCTCTGATGCCGTCCAGGGAGCCACCTCGTCGCACGGACCAGTCAGAAGTTCCCTCACCTCCCCTGACCTCATTGCGACCCCCCTGGCCATGCCAAGCTGTGCCGCTGCCTGCTGGGAAATGTAGTTTTCAGCGGCAGCTTTCTGTGTGCCGTAAAAGCCGAGGCAAAAGCCGAACTAGGTCTTATTTTCGGGGTATGTCTTATATTACAGAAATCTCTGAAAATAGCGCTAGGTCTTATTTTCGGGGTAGGTCTTATTTTAGGGGGAAACACGGTATACACATCCTGGGGCCAGCCACTAGCTCTGGTGATTTGTGCCCTGTCTGCTTATATAGCCAAATGAGAGATGGAAATTCTGTTGTCTGTGCATGAACGCAATGATGGACAATCAATGAGTGCACAATACTGCAGTAGTAGTCTTGACAGGCTCTCTTAAAATAAGAGTAGTAGTAGTACCAAAAGAGAATCCTGTGGTATTTGTCAGTAGGGTGCCCCATTATTCATGTTGGAAAATCTGCACAGATACATAAACCAAAAATATACTTGTCTCATGCCTACACAAGCACAATATTGAACTAAACCATACTGCCCTGCATTTGAGTTGTGTTCACCTTTGTATGTAGTTACCCTTTTAATACAGACATAAAAATATAAAAAGTAATAATGACACCTACTGTGTTCCACACTTATATATTCCTTTGTCATTCATAGATGTTGGCAGAAACCACAATTTACTTCCAACAGCATGTACTCGTTTCTTGTAATTTGATGAAAAATATTGACAATCTGGCATCCTACACCATGTGACACTGACCTCAGGTAATGGGCAACTGAGAACAAAAGCTTCACCTTCCTTTGCAGAATATGACCTCAGAGCATTAACTGCAGCTGCGTGACAAATTGAAAAACAAAATAAAATAAGCCCTTAGGTTTACTAGTATGGAAATATTTTTAAGACTTACTTTTTTGAAGAAGCTCATACAAGAAGACCCATACAATTCTAACATGTTCATATTCCTTATTACATTACATTCCTGATTACATTTCGAAACAAAATATAAGTTGTTCAATAGACCTTATTGGGGGTCCATTGAAGAAGGTTTTTCCACACATGATTCACACAACTTTTACACAAGAGTCACAGATTTTTCCAATTAGAATCAATTGCAAAATCTATGAATCCTGGGTAAATATTGTGTAAATCTTGTGTGACAATATTTATTAATAGAGCCCCTGTTGTATATGCTATTCAATTATATTTTGTATTTCAAAGAAACATTCCCTTTGTCTGTGGCTGCTTCTCTCACTCAGGTGTGAGATCTTTTTTAATTCTTGTTACATAAGGGGTAATCTGTCAAGTACAAGAGTGTGCCCATGGGAACGATTGAATTTCAGAAGTCCTAGTGATATGATTTTTTTGGTGCTACTACCCCCTATATGACAATACTGTGATAATTAATTGTATGGAATATATAATGTACAGTATATAATTTAGGCTTGACCAATGTGGAGTATTTAACATACTAAACAGGATATGATATGGAGCAGTCTAGGCGTTTCATTTGTCCGGCACAATGTACAGAGTGGGATGGTTCAGAGAAAATAAAATATAGCTCAAGCAGAATAGGCCCACTTTAACTATTAATGTACACCACATTGCTCAGTAAGAAAGGTGCTTCCACATCAATGTGTATGGAAAGGGCTGCCGTCCTCAAGGCCAACGGGAAGTATCCTTACATATTGTGTAAAACAAAAGACAAACAGCACCCTCTCCTAGTGTAAAAACATTTATTTTAAAGAGTATAAAAATATCTTCCATGAAAACTACTTCCCTGAAACACGTCAGCTAATTTGTTGTCACTGGGATCTGTTTGCAAATTTGTTGCAGATCTCAATGTGCGTAGTTTTTCTGGAAGATATTTGTATACTCTTTAAGATAAACTTTTTTACACTAGGAAAGGGCGCTGTTGGTCTTTTGTTTTACACTTTAACTATTGTCATAGTAGACATGGGCCTCTATGTGTGTAGCTCTTCTGAGAAGGTGAAGGTGGAAAAAATAAAAATAAAAACAAGATTCAAGCCTTAATAGCAGCACACCAAGGACCTGATTTGTAAAGCTGGGTGAACACTGTTCACAGGTCATTAATGTCATTAAATGGAGTCAAGTAGCATAGAAATATATAAATGTGAACACTCTATTAATCAGTCCCATAGTGTGCTGCACCAAACATAGGCATATTCGCAACATGTTAAATATAATTAAAAGGTTTAATAGCAGTGAATTATAGGCGCAAAGAAGCATGCAGGCCTGAAGGGGACTAAATTATAGTTACTTTCTCCTCTGCAAAAATCCACTCCCCC